TTTCCTACAGATATATGCCCAGCATTGTAATTGCTGGATCATGTGGTAGCTCTAAATTTCGTTTTTTGAGAAGCCTCTGTATTGTTACCCACAGAGGCTGCACCAATTTGCCTTGTTTGTAACAGCGTAGGAGGGTTCCCTTTCCTCTACTCTCTGCAGCTTTTGTTACTTGTGTTCTTTTTTGTTATTGGAGGACCATTGCTTTACAATATTGTGTTGGTTTCTGCCATACATTAATGTGATTCAGCCACACGGATACCTATGTCCTCTCCCTCCGGACCCCCCCCCCCCCCATCTCTCACTCCATCCTACCCCTTTAGGTGGTCACAGAGCAGATCTCCCTGGACCACACAGCAAATTCTGACTTACTCTTTCACATGTGGTGATATATGTGTCCATACTCTTCTCTCAATTGTCCCACCCTCTCTTCCCTCGCTGTGTCCACAAGTCTGTTCTCTATATCTGCCTCTCCATTGCTGCCCCACAAATAGGTTCATCAGTACCATCTTTTTAGATTTCATACACATGTGTTAATATACAAAAGTTTGCCTTTTGCTTTCTTACTTCACCCTGTAGAATAGACTCTATGTTTGTCTACTTCATTAGGACTGACTTGAATGTGTTCTTTTTTATAGCTGATATTTTAGTAATATTTCATTGTGTGTGTATATCTATCTATCTATATACCACAGTTCATCTGTTGATGGACGTCTAGGTTGCTTCCATGTCCTAGCTATTGTAAAAAGTGTTGCTACAAACACTGGGGTGCATGTGTCTCTTTCAGTTATGGTTTTCTCAGGGTGTATGCCCAGTATTGGAATTGTTGGGTCATAGGTAATTCTAACTCTCTTGCATTGTTGATGGGAATATAAATTAATATAGCTACTATGGAGAACAGTGCGGAGATTCACTATTTGTATTCTTTATTATGTTAGCCATTCTGACAGATGTGAGGTGATATCTCATTGTGATTTGATTTGCATTTCTCCAATGAATAGCAGGTTAAGTATCCTTTCATAATCTGTTGGCCATCTGTAAGTTTTCTTTGGAAAAATGTTTATTCATGTATTCTCATTTTTTAAAGCTTTCTTTGTTTTTCTGACATTGAATTGTATGAGCTGTTTATGTATGTTGGATATTAGCCCCTTGTCAGTCATTTCATTTACAAATATTTTCTTCCATTCAATAGTTTTTCTTTCTGTTTTGTTTATGGTTTCCTTTGCTGTGTAAATGTTTTTAAGTTTAATTAGGTCTCATTTGTTTATTTTTGCTTTTATTTCTTTTCTCTTAGGAGCTGGCTCCAAAAAATATTGCTATGATTTATGTCAAAGGATATTCTGTCTGTGTTTTCTTCTAGGAGTTTTATGGTTTCAGGTCTTATAGTTAGGTCTTTAATTCATTTTGAGTTTATTGCACATGGTATGAGGAAACATCTGATCTCATTCTTTCAACATGTAGCTGTCCAATTTTTCCAGCACCACTTAATGAAGAGACTGTATTTTCTTCATTGAATATTCTTGCCTCCTTTGTTGTAGATTGACTATATGTGTGTGAATTTCCATCTCCGTTCTCTGTTCTGTCCCATTGATCTGTGTGTCTGATTTTGTGCCGTACTATACTATCTTGATCACTATAGCTTTGCAGTATTGTCTGAAGTCAAGAGAGCATGATTCCTTTGGCTCTGTTCTTTTTCCCTCAGGATTGCCTTGACAATTTGGGGTCTTTGGGGTTTCATAAATTTTAGGATTATTTGTTCTAGTTCTGTGAAAAGTATCATGGATATTTTGATAGAGATTATAGTAAATATGTATATGGCTTTGGGTAGTATGGCCATTTTAACAATATTAATTATTCCAAGAATGCAATGGCAACCCACTCCAGTACTCTTGCCTGGAAAATCCCATGGATGGAGAAGCCTGGTAGGCTGCAGTCCATGGGGTCGCTAAGAGTCTGACATGGCTGAGCGACTTCACTTTCACTTTTCACTTTCATGCATTGGAGAAGGAAATGGCAACCCACTCCAGTGTTCTTTCCTGGGGAATCCCAGGGACTGTGGAGCCTGGTGGGCTGTCATCTATGGGGTTGCACAGAGTCAGATACAACTGACGCGATTTACCAGCAGCAGCAGCAATCCAAGAGTGTGGGATATCTTTCCATTTTTTGTACTGATATAATTTTCAAATTCCTTCATTAGTGTTTTATATTTTTCAGTAAATAGAATTTTTACCTCCTTGATTAAGTTTATCCTTAGGAATTTTATTCTTTTTGATATGATTGTAAATGTGATTGTTTCCTTAATTTCTCTTTCTGAGAGTTCATTTTGAGTATATAGAAGAGCAATAGATATCTATATATCAATCTTGTATCCTGTAACTTTACTAAATTCATTTATTAGTTCCAACAGTTTTTTATTTTTATTTTTTGGTGGAAACTTTAGTGTTTCCTGTATATAGTAAGATGTTATCTTTTAGCTGTACATTTTAATGTTTTTCCACATTTCCTAAGATGAATAGATTTACTTTTTAAAAAAGTGAAACAAATATTTCCAAAGCAAAGGAAAAAGCAATGCAGAAATTGTTAACTGTTTATGTGCATCATTTCCTCCTTTCTCTGAGGGCCTCGTGTGCTGAGGAGACTGCTGGTTTGTCTTTCTTGTACATTGATTTGCTTTGTTGGAGTTCAGTGTTGGATTTTGACTCTCCTTGAGTACTTTCTAGCCCTGAGAATGCAAAGCGCTAGCTGTGTATCACTTTGTTCCAAAGATACCGACTGATAGAGCCTCTTGGTGTTAATATTTCAAAGTCCATATCTTTGTAAGCTTCCCTGGTGGCTCAGTGGTAAAGAATCCGCCTGCAATGCAGGAAACACATGCAGGAGACGCAAGTTTGATCCCTGGGTTGGGAAGATCCTTTGGAGAAGGAAATGGCAACCCACTCCAATATTCTTGCCTGGGAAATCCATGGACAGAGGATCCCAGTGGGCTACAGTCCATGGGGTCCCAAAGAGTTGGACATGACTTAGTGACTGAACAACAAAAAATATCTTTGATAGCTATGCTGTGTCTCTTACGTGTGTTTGGTTACACTGGTTTATTCGTATCTCCCACTACATGATGGACTGCTCCTGTTGTTATTGTTGTTTGGTTACTAAGCCATGTCTGACTCTTTGCTATCCCATGGACTGAAGCATGGCAGGCTCATCTGTCCTCCACTGTCTCCCAGAGTTTGCTCAAATTCATGTCCATTTAGTTGGTGATGTTTTCCAACTATCTCATCCTCTGCCACCCCCTTCTCCTTTTACCTTCAATCTTTCCTAGCATCAGGGTCTTTTCCAACGAGTCGGCTCTTTGCATCAGGTGGCCAAAGTATTGGCGCTTCAATCCTTCCAGTGAATGCTCAGTGTTGATTTCCTTTAGGATTGACTGCTTCTACATGAAATTTATTGTTATTATTTTTTAAATTGACATAGTATTTGGAGCATATACATTTAACATTATATTTATCTAGCATCTAAGAAGATAATTAGGTCCCGGTAGCACCAAATCATTTAGGACAGTAAAAGAAGTAAAAAGGAGTGAGATAACAGTTAAGTTCTTTAGTGATGGTTCCTCTTTCTTTATTTTTCTTTTAATTGTACATCAGTGACTATGACCTATTTTCCACAGTCTAAAGGACTTTCTACATGCCCTGGCCTAAATTGCAAGGCTAAAAGGAGAAAGGTTTTTTTTTTGAACAAAAGTGGAATGTAGGTGCTTAGAATGATTAAGTGAATGTTATTAATATTATTGAGGTCCCTGGAACACCAAATTGAAGAATGGTTAGAAGAATGACTGTCCTTGCCTTAAAGACCAGAGATAAGAACTCTAAATGAAGGTAAACAAGCAGGGTGGGAAAATAAATCTTTAACAAAAGCAGTTATAGATTGAGAACCTCTCAGGTTATTTGAAAAAGCTTTAAAAATTCCTGTGATGTGTCTTGACATTCCAGCCATAGTTTCAGAGGCTTCTGTTGTTCAGGCTTATTAAGAATGAGTTAAATGGGGTTTTTCAGATCTTTGTGACTTACTTTATTTATTTATTTTTTTCCCAAGAGATCATTCTGATTTTTAAGTTACAAGCAAAGCTGCTCATCATCCTCTTTGAGTGACTTTATTTGACAGACATGGAGGCTTGAGAGAGATACTTTTGATCTTAAGTCTGCAGTATCATTTAATGTACAGTTTAGCAGTGAAATTTCTAAACTATCAAAACTGAGACAAAAACATTCAAGTGACATTTTCTTTGAAATATATTCTATGCACTGGAAATGGAAAAAAATGATATTTGCTTAAATATACTTTATGCGGTTTTATGTGAATAAATGATCATTTACCAGCAGTGCCATTGTTCCATCAGAAAAGAAAAAAGAAAAACACCCCAAACACCTCTAAACCTCTTACTTCCTTTTTCTTTCTTTGGAGATTATAGTGACTGGTGTGAAACATACAATTTCACTTTTAAATTTGCAACTTCTAAAAATTCTTTTTCTTCCTAACATCATACTGTGGCCTCAGAAAATCAGACAGTTGTTATTACAAATAGAGTGCAGCTCCACTCAGACACTGAATAGACAATTATAAATGTCTGGATTCTTTCCTTTTTCATGGTGGCTGCTTTTAGATGTGGAATAAAACCACATTAACCAGAGGGTGTTGTTATTGGTGGTTACAGGCCTATTCCTGCCACATCTATAAAGTATCTTTTTTTTTTTTAATCCTTTTCTTTCCTTGTCTAACAGTAACTTTCCATCGTATAAGACTGTTATCAGGAAGCATCATAAAGGTATATGAATATTAAATTATTCAGAAGACAAAGGGACCATAAATGTCACCTAATCCAACTCTAGCACATGACAGATGAGAGTGTAAAGCTGTGGAAGAGTGAATGACATCCAAGGGCACACACAGAGTCAGTAACTTGCTAACTGTTTTTTTCTCTTCTTTTTTTTTTTTTGCTTTTATAGATGGCCGCCCATGTCCTTTCATCCTCTGGGATCCATCTTTGTCTCCAACAAATAATGAGACCCACTCTTCTGTTAAGCTCACTTGGGGAACTTATCAACAGTTGCTGAAACAGAAGTGCTGGCAGAATGGTCGAGTACCCAAGCCTGAATGGGGCTGTACTGAAATACATCACCACGAGTGGTCCAAGATGGCCCTCTTTGATTTTTTGTTACAGGTAAGTTTATTCAATCAAGTAAGTAGTTACCTGAGACTAACACTGAGCTATGGCAGTCTACAGTTAGGAAGTTTCTGCACCTTTTGGGTTTTTATGAAAGTGTAGTTTAAATTCTATAATGTTGTATTTGTCAAGCCTGGTACAACGTCATAAGACATTATATCCTTTAGGAAATGTTCAGAAATGTCCCTTAGCCCTTTTATTAATTTCTGAATAGGTAAATCTTCAGTACATTACTACTGGAATCATCATACCTATCATAGATACAATTTATTATGATAACCCATCAGTGGCTTTTCAAGGTAGGCAGTCTCACAGCACTTGGGAGGTAAGTAAACTGAAGTTTGGTGAAGTTAAGTAAATCACCCAAGTTGTCACAACTGCTCAAAACTGGGCTGGAATCCTGGGATCTGGTGGTAGTAGAAGTTTGTCTTCTTTCTATTTTTCCACACTGTTTCACTAGTCCCTTGGTCACTTATCTTACAGTCACCATTTCCTGTTTTCTTTCCAGTAATTCTTTGTAAATACATCATTAAGATTGACATTGGAGAATAATAAATATTGACCATCTACATAGCTGCATGATTAGATGTTTTATAGGTTTCTTATAACTTTTATCTCCTCCTGATGAGGATCTCATGACTCTTCCTGTCCCCTCATTCCAATACTGCCTTCCTCTTCTTCCACTTTAGAAAAGCTGCCTTTCTGTTGTTGTATTGTTAATTAGTATTTTGTGGCAATCTAGGACTACCTTAGGACATCTGCAAAACATTCTCCTTTTGTTAATTTTGTGTGTGCATATGTGTGTGTGTGTGCCTTTTCAGCAAGGAACTAGAGAGGGACAAAAATGTAGGAAGAGGGGCCTCCCTGGTGATCTGGTGGTTACGAATCTGCCTGCCAATGCAGGGGACATGAGTTTGATCCCTGGTCCAGGAAGATCCCACATGCTCAGAGCATCTGGGCCTACACGCTACAACTACTGAAGCCCCCATTCCCTTAGAGCCCATGCTCCACAGTAAGAGAGGCCGCTGCAATGAGAATCTTTGCACTGTAACTGGAGAGTATCCCCTGCTCACTGCAATTAGGGAAAACCCAAGCAGCAATCAAGATGCCATGTGGCCACAAAAAAAAAAAAGTATAGAAAGAAACTCAGTTTGGCGAGAGCCACAGGAAAGGGATTAGGAACTTTGGAGGAGAGATGATCTCTGGTGTCCATGCCTCAGAGCCACCAGTGAGAACTGAGCCGGGAGCAGCCACTTGTTTTGGGGAGGAGGCCATCAGGAAGCACCAGATACTGATGAACTGTATAGCTGTGAGGCTCAGGCCAGGCTCCGTATAGGTATAATCTTATTATTCCATTTATTAGCATACTTTCTCTGTGAGGTAGACACCTTCTCTCCATTGTACAAGTAAAGTCACTGAGGCATAAAGAGGTTATTATTGAGAACTGGGAAGTGTCTGAGGTCTTACTCTGCTTGTAGGCTAACAGGTTAGCCAGCTGTAGATGTTAGCAGAAGACAAAGGACTCCCAGATGAGAGACAAATGACTTCGTTACCCATGTTCCTCTGCCCTCAAGGTCCACTGGGAAGTTACGGAATGGCCTCACTGAATGCTGCACACAGTGGGTTTTTGTACCTTCTAAGAAAGCCTCCAGTCTTATTCATTTTTTTAACTGAAAAATGAAATGATGTACAACATTATGTTGGTTTCAGGCATACTTCACAGTGAATTAACATTTGCAGACATTGTGAAATGAGCACTGTGATAAAGCTAACATTCATCTGTCCCCATACAAAGTCATTACAATATTATTAATTATATTCCTTATGCTGTATGTTACATCCTTGTGACTTGTTTATTTTATAACTGGAGGTTTGTATTTCTTAATCCCTGTCACTTATTTCACCTGTCAATCTCCCTCCTCTCTGGCAACCACCCATTTTTTTCCCTCAACATTTAGAAGTCAGTTTTCCTTTTGTTTTGATTTTTTGTTTATTTTTTAGATTGCACATATAAATATGGTGTTTGTTTTCATCTGACTTATTTCATTTAGCATAATGCCATCTAGATCATCCACGTTGTCACAAATGGCAAGTTTTCACTTTTTTATGGCTGAGAAGTTTTATGTATATAACATATATACAGATATCTCACATCTTTATCCATTTATCTATGGATGGACACAAGTTGCTTCCACATCTTGGTTATTGTAAATAATGTTGCAATGAACGATGGTGTGCATAGATCTTTTCAAATTTATGTTTTCTTCAGGTAAATACATAGAAGTGAAATTAGTAGATCATATAGCAGTTATATTTTTAAGTTTTTGAGGAACCTCCATCAGTTCAGTTCAGTTCGGTTGCTCAGTCGTGTCTGATTCTGTGACACCATGGACTGCAACACACCAGGCTTCCCTGTCGATCACCAGCTCCCGGAGCTTGCTCAAACTCATGCCCATATGAGTTGGTGAGGCCATCCAACTATCTTATCCTCTGTTGTTCCCTTCTCCTCCTGCCTTCAATATTTCCCAGCGTCAGGGTCTTTTCAAATGAGTCAGTTCTTCTCATCAGGTGGCCAAAGGACTGAGTTTCAGCTTTAGCTTCTGTCCTTCCAATGAATATTCAGGACTGATTTCCCTTAAGATTAACTGGTTTGATCTCCTTGCAGTCCAAGGGATTCTCAAGAGTCTTCTCCAATACCATAGTTCAAAAGCATCAATTCTTCGGTGCTCAGCTTTCTGGACTATAGTCCAACTCTCACATCCATACATGACTACTGGAAAAACCATAGCTTTGACTAGATAGACCTTTGTTGGCAAAGTAATATCCCTGCTTTTTAGTAAACTGTCTAGGTTTGTCATAACTTTTCTTCTAAGGAGCAAGTAGCTTTTAATTTCATGGCTGCAGTCACCATCTGCAGTGATTTTGGAGCTTAAGAAATAAAGTCTGTCACTGATTTCATTGTTTCCCCATCTATTTGCCATGAAGTGATGGGACCAGATGCACTGATTTGTATGCCCATCAATATTGCACAAGGTTTCCCTTTTCTCCACATTCTTGCCAAAAATTTCTTATCTTTTGATAATAGTTATTCTGACAGGCACGAGGTAGTATCTCCTTGTGGTTATTCGCTGATTTTGAGGGGGGGGGAGCAGAGTAGTTGGTATGTAGGATCTTAGTTCCCTGACTAGGGATTGAACCCTCACCCACTACAGTGGAAGTGTGGAGTCTTAACCACTGGACTGCAGGGAAGTCCCTTTCTTTGCTGATTTTTTTTCCTGTGGTTTTATATTTCCCGAGTGATTAGTGCTGTTCAGCATCTTCTCATATGCCTGTTGGCCATCTGAATGTCTTCTTTGGGAAAAATGTCTACTTATATTCTATGCCCATTTTTTAGTTGTTTTTTGATGTTAAATTGTATGAATTCTTTGTATATTTTTAATATTAACCCCTTAATAGATATATAGTTTGCAAATATATTTTCCCATTCAGAAGGTGGCCTTCCTTTTGTTGACAGTTTACCTTGCTGTGTAAAAGCTTTTAGGTTTGGTAGTCCCATTTGTTTATTTTTCTTTTTGTTTCCCTTGCCTGAGGAGATAGATCCCAGAAAAAAAAATTGTTAAGACAGATGTCAAAGAGCATACTGTCAATATTCTCTCCTAGATTTATGGTTTCAGGCCTTATATTTAGGTCTTTAATCCATTTTTGACTTTATTTTTTCATATGGTATGAGAAAGTAGTCCAGATTGATTCTATTGTACACAGCAGTACAGTTTTCCCATGACCACTTATTGAAGAGGCTGTCTTTCCCCGCTGTATATTCTTGCCTGCTTTGTTGTAGATTCATTGACCATATAAACTTGGGGTTATTTTGGGGCTCTCTATTCTATTCCATTGATCTATATGTTTGTTTCTATGCCAGTACTATACTGCTTTGATTACTGTAGTTTTGTAGTATAGCTTGAAATCAGGGACTGTGACAACTCTAGCTTTTTTTTCCTTCTTTCTCAAGATTGCTTTGGCTCTTTTCTGTTTTCATACAAATTTTGGAGTTATTTGCTCTAGTCCTGTGATAAATGCCATTGGTGTTTTGACAGGGATTGCACTGAATGTGTAGATTGCTTGAGTAGTATAGTCATTTTAACAAATATTGATTCTTCCAATCTGTGGGCACAAAATATCTTTCCATTTGTTTTGTCATCTTCAATCTCTCATAGTTTTCAGAGTACAGATCTTTTTCTTCTTTGATCAGGTTTATTTCTAGCTAATTTATTCTTTTTGATATAATTGTAAAAGTGATTGTTTTCTCTTTCTGATGGTTCATAATTAATATGTATAAATGCAGCATATTTATTTTTTATTTTTAATTGGAGAATAATTGCTTTACAATGTTGTGTTGGTTTCTGCCATACAAAAATGTGAGTCAACTCTAAGTATACATATGTCCCCTCCCTCTTGAATCTTCCTCCCACCCTGCACCCCATCCCACATGTCTAGATTTTCAGAGGATCAGGTTGAGCTCCTTGTGTTAAACAGCAATTTCCCACTAGCTATTTATTTTGTATATGGTAATGTATATGTTTCAATAACTACTCTCTCAATTTGTCCCACCTTCTCCTTCCCCTGCTGTGTCCACAAGTCTGTTCTCTATGTCTGCATCTCTATTCCTGCCCTGCAGAAATGTTCAATAGTACCATTTTTCTATATTCCATATATGTTAATATATGATATTTGTTTTTCTCTTTCTGACTTGCTTCAGTCTGTATAACAGGCTCTAGGTTCATCCGCCTCACTAGAACTGACTAAAATTTGTTCCTTTCATGGCTGAGTAATATTCCATTATATGTACTATGGCTTCTTTATCCATTCATCTGTTGATGGAAATCTAGGTTGCTTCCATGTCATGACTATTGAAAATAGTGCTAGAGTGAAAATTAAGGTACATGTGTCTTTTAGAATTGTGGTTTTCTTAGGGCATATGCCCAGTAGTGGGATTGCTC